CAACAGAAGTTTGTGACATTAACTATGTATGGAGGAAGACCATATACATAACAGGGTTAATCAATCCACTTATACCAACAGATGCAAAATGGGAATCGCTCCTCACACCACATGGAGAGGACCCAGAGCATGAACAAGAAGGTTTCAGAGAGTCGCTTACAGACCTCCTGAATACCAATGCGAATATACCTCCTGATGTTCATTGCAACCTACCAGGCTCCACAGTCACAGCACCTGCAAATGAAACCAACGTCAGACAAATGAGGCACGCTAAAGTCAACTTTGTTCCGCACAAATACATTCCGCAAACGGATGAGAATGTGCAACGATGGCTTAAAGATGGTCACATATACAAACGCGACACGCCCACAACGGTGAGCCTACTCATGTTATCAACAGGTGAACATGACCAAACGGGTCTCCTCAAGAAAGTAAGGACATGTCTAGACTTACGTGAGATCAATCATCAATATCAGCAAGACAAGTTCGTGTTACCGAAAATAAAGAAGTTTTACACAACCTACAAGGGGCATAGTTCTTTTCAAAGCTAGATCTTACAGGAGGATTTCACCGCTTCTTAGTAGACGAAGCAAGCCAACATTTCTTCATATTCTCGTGGAGATGAGCGCAATACTCATTCAAGTCCGCGCCGTTTGGACTACAATCACTCACAGCACAATTCCAGAGAGTCATGGCGAATCTGTTCATAGATATCAAAGGAGTGCAAGTGTATGTAGTTGACATAGTCATTGTGAGTCTTACAGAAGAAGAACACCGCAAGACAGTTCGTGAAGTAATCAAGCGACTGAATAGCGCAAACTTCCGACTTAATCACAACAAGTGCGCCTTTGCGGTCAAAGTGGTCAACATTCTTGGGGTGAAAGTCACCACACTTGGACTCAAAGCAGACCCTGAGAAACAGAAAAGAATGATGGATTAGCCACTACCCAGAACAAAAAGGTATCTGCACAAAGCAGTGGGACTAGCAAATTACATGCGAGACCATGTCCCCAACTTTGCTCACACAACGAAACACTTTCGGAACGTAATGAAAGGAAAAATGAACCAGAACATATACATGTTATGGACTCCGGAACTAATAAAGAAGTGGGAAGAACTCAAAGAAGCCATCGCCTGTTCAAAGACGCTAGCATACCCTGTCCATGGGGTACCGTTTCAAATTATGAACGATGCTAGTGGCTATGGCATAGGAGAGTGTTTATTTCAAGTCATCGATGGGGTTAGAAACGACATTCTCTACTTCTCAAAAGGCTTGAACCCAGCACAATAACGCTATGGCACAAATACCAGAGAGCTACTAGCACTGGTATTCAGCCTGGAATATTTCACCGAATACATTAAAGGGGGGACATAACACTGTGAACAGATCACAAAGCACTCACGCAAATGAACAGTCAACAGACGTCACATCCAATGCTGGCCAAATGGATAGCGAAAACGTTCCACCACCATTTCCCCATCATACATGTCCCAGGCAAGGACAACCAGATGGCAGACATATTATCGCGTCTCCAAGAAGATACTTTTAGTACAAAAGAGTCAAAAGTAATACAAAAAGCGAATGAGGCATCACATAATAGCCAAGAGTACACCACCTTGGAAACAGACATGCACTTAACCATATCGGTTATATATTGAATGTTACATCCCAGATTCTATCAAGAAGCGGAACGAAGGTTGGGAAGTTCACAGTAGATCTGTTTGCATTGGCATACAATGCACACGCAGATAAATACCACACCAAAGAACAGAATGCGCTACAACAAAAGTGGGCGCAGGAAGCGAATGCATGGGCGAACCCACCATGGGAACCCATACCTGATGTCCTTGACAAAGTCATTAAAGAGGTAACCAGTATCACGATATGTGTACCATATTACCCCAATGCCTCGTAGTTTCCAAAGCTCTTGTTTCTACTAGAAGATGACCCGAAGCTAGTGGAAAACACAAACAACACTTTTTTAAAAGAGGGCAAGAAGGCTTGTGGCAAGACCCCATGGGGTGTCACATTGGTCGCAAAGATAAGAGCTAAGTCTCCATACTTTGACACAGCGAGGGACCAACCTGCTATACACGTTGCGGCATCAGAACCAGTTCACTCTGGGGATGCACCACAGGCAACAGAGTATGAGACACGTGTCAACACCGTCGAGTAATACCACAACTTAAGACATTACACTCCGGAGGAAACGGTACACAAGTTGCAAACTGATGGACATGATTGGCCTGATATCCAACGACATGTACACAAGTTCATTGACGGATGCATACCATGTCTCAAAATAAGATAAAAAAGGGTTTTCACTTCTTACAATCAATCACAGCCGCATATCCAGGCGACAGAATCCAAGTGGACACCATAACTGAAGGACATGATTGGCCTGACATCCAACAACATGAACACAAGTTCATTGACGGATGCATACCATGTCTCAAAATAAGATAAAAAAGGGTTTTCACCTCTTACAATCAATCACAGCCGCATACCCAGGCGACAGAGTCCAAGTGGACACCATAGGTCCACTATTGGATTCCAACAGAGCACACACATATGTGTTAGTCTGGCTTGATGTACATTCATCATATGTCATTTTGCGTCTAATGATGGACAAATCAGCGGCGAGTGTAGCACGCCCGCTAGTACCCATCATGTGTGAACATTGATTCCCACAAATCATACAGACTAACCAAGGCACTGAATACGTTAACAACATACCTTTAAAAGTTGTTGAACAAGCGCCAATGCAACACCTAGTCTCTCGGCCGTATCAACCTAAATTTTTAGGCGCGAACGAACGATCGCACAAAGACCTCTTGCCACTGCTACGGAAATTCGTAGAACAGAATCCAGGTAACTGGTGTTCACGACTTCCATTCGTACAGATGGGCCACAATCTGCGTACATCCAGAAGGCACACGTCACCCCGCTTTAATGTGTACTTTGGTCGCAGACAGAATCAACTCACGGACTACAATGAGCCAGTGACCGCACCCAGTACAACAGTATCTTGGGAAGAGCGACTGCGAAATCTAGAAGAAGCCATCAGGCCACAGCTAGATAGCAACGTTGCCCAGTATCAAAAGAAGATGCGCGCAGCATACGATCGAAAATACCAAAAGAAGTATGTAAACTGCCAGGAAGGGTACCTAGTCATGGTTCGCTATCAAGGTGAAATGAACAAGTTAACAGCACCAAATGACGGACCATACAAAATAGAATGCAGGGAGGGCAACGGGTATAATGTCTGTAAACTTGATGGGACTATAGCCCCCGAATATCCTGACTCGATCAGTTATGAGCTACTTGGCCTCGTAAAAAGGGCCAGTGTTCCGGAAGCATTTACTTCCAACAATCACGTACAACCAAACGAAGAGACTCAGCTCTCCTCGATAGTCGATGACAAGCCGTCCATCCGAGGCGATGGATCCCAGGAGTACCTACTGCATTGAACCGATGGTGAGCATACCTAGACGCGTGAATCAAACACCGTAGATGTTGATGTCACTACAACATACCATCAACGCCGGAGACGTAAACGAAGGCAGTCCAGGCCAAAGAAGCCAACGACAACGAGCACTGATGAAAGATCAGCGAGCCACAGACAGCGCACGAGGTGGGGGACCTAAGCAAGTCTCACTGATACCACATGACACTCCCATTTTTCTTGCCTAGAAGCATGCTCCCCCCACACACCAGAGGGACAAGGACCAGAGAATCAGCTGTAGAGCCACCGTTGAGATGCGTTTTTCTAAGCCAAGTTGAGATCAACCGAGAGCATTGGTCTAGACTGACTCCAATGAGCGTGGTAGAGTACTCCTGCTGCAGTATAAATTCAATAAATCGGTAATATGTATTAGAAAATGGTGGCAGGTTTTTCATTTTATGCCCCCTAAGGGACAAGTTTTTCCCTGTATACAAACACCAACCTCTAGATAATATAGTACTGTAAGATGTTACTTTCTACTCCCACGCAGGCTAAGAAGCACAAAGTTGGGGGGCTGTAGCATCTAGGGACCAGATTATCAAAAGCCAATCCAAATCCCAAAACCCAGAATGATCAAATACTGAGTTTTGGAATTAGGATTAAAATATTTATGATATTAGAGTCATCGGAAATATTAGCGGTAGAACTGGTAAGATATACCGGGACTCCCGCGTGTGAGAGAAACACTCAAGTAAATCCTGAGTCTAGTGAAAACACAAATAAAGACCCGGTTCGGTTCTCTCAGACTAGGGACTTTTCCCAGCTGAGATAGCCGCGCTTGAGAAGAGGTCTATTGTATCATATTGTCTCGTACCTTTCAGCTACTCCCCATACGCTACAAGTTCTCACAATAGGTTTTCGGCAGGCGATTCTGTGGTGTGCACAGGAATCTGGTGAGCACCTTTGGTTCAATGTCTGCTATTCGTACTTCTGGTGTGCAGACATCAAAACGGTACCAGGTTTGGTACTGAATGTGGTCTGGGTTTATCTACAATAACATTGCTGAGATTCTGTGGCGTACCATGGCTTTACTGGGTCTCACACAATTTTCATTTTGTGCTTCTTGGGGTCATGGTTGGCGCCGCTATGAGACTTGCGATCCTTGCATTTGTTCCAGTTGCACTCGTGTACAAATCGACAATTGTTGTGGTCAGAATACATGTACTTAGATTTATTTTAGTTTTATTACAGTTTTTACGTTTATCAGAACAATCCGATAAACTTAGTTTTTGCTAACTATTACAGCACATTACTTATGACTCATAATTAGTCATGAATTTCACAATTACTAATAAATGAACAACATCTCCCTCTCTACGGAACGAGAACGTTGAGATATAGTTATCCATCGTACACTTACTACATTTTTAACTTACCATAAGAAGTTGTTACTTTATTAGTAATTGTAGGGAAAGCTACGGAATAAGAAATAGTCAGTAGCTAGTATTTATTTATTTTGTTATAAGTACAATTTAAGAATTATAAGAATAAAGAATGTCGCATCAAAATGACGAGATCTTCCGAAATTTGCCTAACGAAGAAGGAGATAGTGGGTTCTCGAGTAGTGAGGCTAGTGATACGATACCGCCATTAATTTCGACCAGCAGCAGTAAGGCAGAAGGAGACTCAAGACCGGAGAACCAAGGGGATAACCGCGCAGAACCACCTACGATTGATGAAGTGGAAGAAAAGAGATTTAGAATCAACAGATACGAAATGGCTCGATAACTTGAACAATTTAGACTAACTGGTCGTCGTACTAATGATGTTTGGACAACAAGTACGAAGATAGAATCTATTGAGTCGAGTGAAACCGAGAAGGAACCATCACAATCAAGCACAACATCAACCCAAGGACAACAAGGAAGGTCCCAGGACGATCAAATAACGAAATCTGAGAATCAGCCAGAAACCACAGATAAGTAGTCACGTGTGAAAACAGGTAGGGAGGTTGTTTTCGTGTGAGACAAGTACAAACAGAGTGTGCAAGTAGCAATACGTAAACTATAAGTTAAGAGTTGTTAGAAGAAAGAAGAAGCTTATTCAGGATCTATAGTGGTAGAAATGGAGGGTACACATGGTTAGTGCCGACTCGTCTAGTACCACGACACAAAAAAGCAGCGATATACTATATTCTTTTACAAAAGTTCCAAGATGATTAGAGGTTAAGTTATATGAACTGATATTTAGTCTTTATACAAAATAGACAAGGCTACATAGTGCACACGTCAGTTGACAAAATAGTGTACACGTATAGTCGATACTGAAGATCATATACTGAAGATCATGGGTACTAAACAATGACCAAAACACAAGTACAACAAATAATAAGCAGAGGATAGGTAAAAGACACACCGGTGTATATATATCAGGCAACACGTCACAAGACTACATCATGTATACTATGGCGTGGGCAGACCGAAGTTTTAAGGAATAGGAAATGGAATGGCACGACATATACACCTAATGGTATCCATACGCAACGGAGTAGGAGTTAAGACTCTGAAGGGGCTATATATTGGGCTTATAACTTATGGACGAATAGACAGGAGTATTTATTTAGAATTATCTACTTAAGTTTTGGCTACAATAGGTAGCGACGAAGTTGAGAAGCGATAGCTATCCAAGTGACATCAAACTACAACCAGAAGTGCACATAAGGTGATTTAGATAGGTTGGTCGACGGAGGAGGTTAGAAGGAAGAACACAAACACATAAGTAAGCATCTGTGAGTTTATATTCTTTTAAGAATATATAATGTGGGAGCGTACATAACACGATCGGTGTAAGTAGTACATGGTTAAAATTGCGGAAATGACAGACGCACACGCACGAACCAATAGAGCTTCTAGCTACATCAGGTAATTGGAGCGGCTCACGAGCACGTACAGAAGGCGTTGTTTGCGGCAGTGTTGTTTAGGAGCGCAATATCTAACAAATAAGTCTTAGGTCGAGGAATACAATCTAACAACCGCAACGGCACATGACAAGGACATCATGAGTAGAGGACACGAAGCCAGGGGAGTAAGAAGAGCAATCAGGAGCGACAGATGGAGTATGCGACGAGATACCGAGGCTAGGCTGACACCAGGTCGGAGCAGGAGCAGCCGAAGGGAAGGTTGAGAGGATGTTCCGACAAGCGGGGCATACCTCAACGAGGTATTTATTTGAAGGAGAGTAAGACATCAGTTAGTGATAGATGGGTCTCGACTCTCTATACAACTAGGGTCTGTGAGTGAAATGAAGTAATCAAGAGTGAGCCCACTGGTTCCTCGAGGATCATCGTCGAGACTTCATGTGTTTGAGGGATGGACTCTTGATAGGAAATGGGTATTTATATTCAATTCTTTCCGAGTTCGTTCGCACACATTTCAAGATCTCCGTTGAAACATACTTCCCCGACCATGTCCAACCCCCGACAAAGTCGTAGACAGCATCACCTGAACCCTGAGCGTCGCAAAGAAAATGATATTGACCGACGTGAGACTAAGCGTCGTCCATCTAATCCGGACAGCACTGGTCTACACACAGGACAGGCTCTGGAGGGGCAACAACAGTCACGTCTAGAGGATCTCTACCCTGTATCCGCTAACGACAAGCAGTCGCCAACGGCACACGGAGATGAACCTGTTCATTCAGGGGACGACGTCGTCTTCGAGGGTGAGACCAAGAGAGTTCCCGACCTGCGTGTGGACCGGAGTCAGACAATTACTGGTGAATATGTAGCTAGTAATGGTCTGTCCTCCCGTTCGTCTTCGGGTACTTCAGGGGCCTTGTCCTCCAGTAATGTCTAACCGCCTTCCACCTAACAAACGTAGACGCTACCGTCGGCGCACCAACAACAAGGACACGGTACGGGGCCAATCGTGCGCTCAGAAATTTACTGAGCTAATGGCTCAACAGCAGTCACTTCTAGAGAAGTATGAACAAAAGTTGCAGCGCACGACTGCCGAGCGGCCTACAACATTGTTGGCTGCCACTGAGACAGTTACTGGCACACACGCACGTGTGCATACGTTGCTAGGAATTGAGGACAACTTTACGTTCCGTCCCCAAGGCCGTACACGACCGCATCATGGACTCGGGTATGAATCATCTGGGTCAGAGGCCCGGTCGGCCGAGGGGGAGCAGACTCTGTCTTCTATTGAGGACCCCTCATCTTTCCAGGAGTTCGCACGTGAACAGGTATTAGCCAAGCAGAACCCTCATGGGAGTGAGGCACTGAAGAATATGCAGGATCGGTTAAGTACTAACTTTCGCCAGCAACAGCAACGTCAGTCGTTCGAGAAGGAAGCAGCCAGTGAATTTGTACAGATACCCATACGGCAGGGGAAGGATACACCTGTACCTCCGCCTACGCCGGATAGTATTGAGAAAAGCCGACAAGCGCTGCATGCACGGACACTACACCTGAGCAACGAGCTATGCCAAGCAATCAAGGATAATATTACGGCTCGAGCTGAAGCTCTTCGGGGAGCGATTGAGACGCTCCGGGCTACGCTGGAGTCCCGCCCGGTGGAAAAGCGGCCTTTCCCGTCACCACATACATGGCCCGATTGGCCTTCGAACAGATACCACCTACACGACATTATGGAACGGGATACGAGAGGGGCTCTCCTTGAGACATTTAAGAACGCGCAAATCGCAGGGTTAGATGAGAGTTGGAGCCTAACATGGTTCCAAAAGGTATTATCTTACTTTAAGGCTGAGAAGTCAACATTGGATTACATACGCGACAACTCGGAACGATTGAGGATGTGGACGCCACAACTACAATTCGAACAGATCTGCTCGCATGAGACACAAGCCACTGTCAATCCCGCGTTTCGTAAGTTAGCCAAGGGCCACAGTCGGAACATGCACACCCTTATTATGAAACAAATGACACAGCTCATGGAGAACCATAGGAGGGCACGTGAACGGTGCCAGACGGATGCAGACTTCTATCAGGATATATTAAACCATTGCATCGTACAACTGTTAGAGGGAGCTCTCAACGGCCGAACGTATGAGCGTACTTTACAGTTGCATCCTAAATGGCAATTGATGAAGACGCACGAGCTTCTGCAGTTACTGAGCCCCGATATTCAGGACGCACAGCAGCGCACCACAGCGAGGCTGCAGAACCGGAACAATCGCGAGGGTCAGCCGAACAACGGAGGTCGGGACTACACCAATAGCCGCCCTAGCCCGCAGACGGTTCGACGACAGTCGCAGAACTGGTCTCAGCGACCCCAACCGTCACTACCTACGAATTGTGCTGGATGCCAGGCACAAGCACCACCAGGTTCGCGTCTTATTCCGCGATGCCATCATTTCCGTGCATCGCAACCAGGGGGTACGGATGGCCGAGCACAGCCATACGACAACAACCGCATATCAAGAGACGCACATTCGGCACACAGGCCGACCACAGCTTCAACCTCAGGGCAGGGGCAGACCACCACCCAGAGTAGAGAATTGATAACTACGCGTCCGACTCATCAAGTACAGGTGAATGCGATTACACAGAACGACGGCCTTGTACCACCATCAGAAGCTACAGAGGTACACATCAATACGATACTCACGGAAGACTTCGAGCACACGGCACCGGACACAGACCAGGACCACGGAGTACGGGAGTCCGTCACCGAACGAGCATGAGATGTGAGGGTGCCTGAGTCGGATATGAGCTTCACATTTGCTAACACTATTAGGGCAGTGATTGAGATACAGGACCCATTGCTTTCTTCTGATAACCGAGTTTATTTTCAAGTGCAAGTTAACGGACGCACGTTCAAAGCATTGATAGACACGGGAGCAAACAGAAGTTGTATCTCACAGACATCCGCAGACCTCTTCGGCCGCCCAATAACTCCCGCACCACTTGGGTCATTCATCTATTTAGCTGACAAGGCGGTTCGGACTCCTCGACTGGGGACGACAGAAGTGGTACCACCCATTCGGTATGACACCAAGATTATCAACGGGTCACTTGAGTTGATGAATTTACCTGCAGGTATAGACATCATAGTGGGGCAAGATATGTTGAAAGGCTTGGGTCTCTACATAGGCGGTATACAATCGCCACTCGCACCGATCGACCCCACATAATTGGAAGAGCTCCTCGAACCCATCCCACGCCGACAGGCACCGAATACGACAGAACCCGCCGATGCACGCCAACGTCTGGCACATAATTTAGAGGCGGATGCGTTGATTGCTGACAACGCGCGATGCCGTCTGGAAGGAAGTGAAGTTACCATTCCGGTAACCCGTGAACAGGCGATGTACAAGCGCAGATCGACACGTAACTTTGTATCCGACCGATGGCTACCCTACATGGACGAACAAGTGGAGAAGTGGTTCGCAGATTTGGTGATCACGAAACGGACGACACCGACCACCGTCAACCTCCTCTCCTTGCGGTTCCGACGTTCGATGCAGAAGGAAATGTGAAGAAGTTACGGCTGTGTTTAGACATGCGCGCCGTTGATGCCCTTATCCCCGGTGACCAGATTTTGATTCCAAAGGTCAACGAACTTATCTCTCGCCTCAAGAGTAAGAAGTAACTACCCTACGCTGGACATCTCTGCCGAATACCACAGGCTGCCGATCCATACAGATTTACAATACTTGTTCAGCTTTACGCACAAGCGTTATCAGTACTCGTTTACATCGGCGCCGTTTGGACTCCATGTGCTCACGCAACAGTTCCCGCGTACCTTGAGCACGATACTTGACGGTTTACCGGTCCACCACTATATCGACGACATCGTTATCGCTAGCGACGACTATGATGAACACGTTAAGACGGTGCAGCAGGTGATTCAACGCTTGACATACCACAGTTTTAAGCTTAACCCCGCCAAGTGCCCCTTTGCTATTCCCGAAGTGATGATCCTAGGGAAGAAGGTGTCTGCACAAGGCATAGACATTGATCATGAGAAGCAGGCCAAGCTTATCGACTGGCCTACCCCGATACGGTACAAGGATATAGCCTCCGCCTTACGTTTGGCGAACTACCTTCATGAGCATCTCCCCAACTTCGCGAACACGGTAGCACCTTTGCGCGAATTTTGCAAACTCAAACCGAAGGAGTTGATCGGCGATCGTTGGGAGGAGCGACATGCACAGGCGTGGCAGGCAATGGAAGCTGCAGTTGTTAATGCAGTAGCGTTGCACTTCCCGGTAGACGGTATACCATTGAACTTGGAAACCGAAGCTAGCGATTACGGTTTGGGGGGAGCGTTATTCCAAGAAACACTATTTAATGTTCTTTAGCACGACTCAGAACCATGCGCAACAGAACTACGCATACCAATGAAGGAGTTACTCGCTTTGGTGTATGGACTTACACATTTTAGGGAGCACTTGGATGGGCAACGGTTTGCAGTCTTTACGGACTACAAGGCCCTCGTGTATATGAATACACAGCCCAAGCATAATCCGATGCTTCAGAGATGGCACCATATAATCGCTCCGTTCAACTTTAATATATCACATATACCAGGAGAGACGAACGTGCTTCCGGACATGTTGAGCAGAGTACACGAGGGGACAAAGGAGCAAGATGAACCTGAAATACTGTACACAGATTGTTGGCAGTTATTTCCGAGTTACTTTGAACAAGCACAAGAACACTTCGGTCCGAATAATATAGACGTACTTGCGGACCCAAATAACGCTCAGCTCCCTCGATTTTGGACTGAAGACGATGCGGAAGGTGCGTTTGCCCACGACTGGTCGACGGTCGATGGATGGATGAACCCACCATGGGAGAAGATACATATAATGTTGCGCAAGGGTTTCAAGGGCACCATGGTTTGACTTGTTCAAGCAGTTGTTGCAGTCCGAATCGGTGCTGGTTCCACGAACGCCACATACGTCCCTCAAGTATGCTAAGTACGCCTGTGGCAAGACACCATGGGGACACACAGTGATTGCACGGGTGGGACCTCCTAACGGGTTCAAACTGAACCCGCTGTTTTCACAGCGTGCAGAACCCAAACACACCGCGTACGTGATGTGTTTAGATACGGCACGAGAAATCTCAGTGGCGATGCCAGACGCAGAGAGTCAACCGGCGTTTGAGCGAGCGACCCCAGAAGTACAACAGCGCCGAACGCGACTCACGCAAGCTCACCACGAACAAGGACATCATGGAGCGGCCGATACAGTTCAACAACTACGACATAACGGCCATGTATGGCCAGGCGCACTTGAATTGGCAGCGGAAGTCAAACGGCAATGCGCTACATGTCTGGGACAGGATACGCTACGTAAAGGCTTTCACCCGATGATTAGCATTGACGCGTGCTACCCGTGGGACCATATTCAAGTTGATTACATCCCGATGCCACTGGAGTCCAGAAGGAAGAACAATTGTATACTTCACGTCCTGGACATCGCTACAGGCTACTCAATCCTTCGAGCGACACCGGACAAGACGAAGGAGGCGACGGCGTAGACACTAATATAAGTTTTTGGCGAGCATGGTTTCCCACGTATGATCCAGACGGACATGGGGAATGAATTCACCAACAAGATAGTGGAGCTCCTGGTCCAAGAAGTGGGTATACTACACAAGGCATCACCACCATATCGACCCCAAGTACTGGGTACTGCTGAACGACGTCATAAGGAAATTACACATTCCATTAGACAATACTGTGAGTCTATTGGTCAGTGCTTCAGTTTGGGGGGGGGGGGGTCGTGGTCAGAATACAAGTACTTAGGGTTATTTTAGTTTTATTACAGTTTTTACAGTTTATCAGAATAATCTGATAAACTTAGTTTTTGCTGACTATTACAGCACATGACTTATGTCTCATAATTAGAGTCATGAATTTTACACTTACTAATAAATGAACAAAGTCTCCCTCATCCAGCGTATACTTACTACGTTGTTCATCTTGCAACTGCCTCGGTTGAAGTTGTCATTACAATCTCTTAGGTGGGTCGCCTCTCGTCGTCCCATTCTTAGTATCCGTGGCATCGACGCACGTACAGAACACGATGCTCACAGTGGAGTTCTCACAGTAGATTTTTGGCAGGCGATTCTGAGTGCGCACAGGAATCTGGTGAGCACCTTTGGTTCAATGTCTGCTATTCGTACTTCTGGTGTGCAGACATCAAAGCGACACCTGTGTTCCAAATCCAGAGATGCAACTGCATCAGGTGTCAAATCTATCAGGTGCTGACAAAGCTGTGCTTGATACGCAACCAGATACATTATTGCTGTTGGGTCTGTTCGTATATCCATATTGTGGATTAGCGTCGCACCCATCACCTGTGTCTATACTTTTAACAAATCTGCTGCTGAATAAAAGCTCTCTTTTTCTGCTTTCACTTTGGCTACGCCCGAGTCCATCGTAAGTTCTGCGTCGTATGTTCATACATGGGCTGGTCTCGCCGCACGCTTCACTTCTGTTAGTTATACTGGCTTACCTTCACGAAATTTCTCCTTGAGTGATTCTGGAAAATTTGTTCGCTCGCAGTGTTGCTTCGGCTTCCAACTCCGTACGTTCCTTGTTCCTTGCTCCGGTTGACAAATTCATGATTTGCATCTCCATCATCTTGATCTTGCTGTCTTGTATTGCATGGTCATCAGCTCTCTTCGCTTCCTTGATGGCCAGTTCTCTTTCAGGTTCTTCCACCCTAGCTGCCAGTTCGCGTTGAAAAAATTCTTCACTTGTTGTCTTGATAATGGTTTCCGTATCAGGATTCGCTACGCCTAATTGGGTGATGTTTCCTTCCCGCTGCGAAACTTTATGCGTAGCTGCCCGTGCTTGTGTTTGTTCTCGTTTACTTGATGAAGAGGTTTCTTCGTCGGATTCTTCTGCAGCCATCTTGCTGTAAATTGCTGTAATTGGCTAATGCGTATAAGGAAATAAGTGTATGTTGTGTACTTAGCCTCTCTGCGTGCTTGC